TGCCTCCAGTGGTAAACGGACCGCTCTGGTTTGTGAAGTGGCCGGGGAAAATACTGTCCTGTGTTACCAGAGAGGACTAAAGGGCAGCACCTTAGGAGGGAGACTTATGTAGCAAGACCACTGTACCCAATAAAATAAGGGAAAGAGCTCTGTCTCTATGGCACTTTTATAACTTCTGTGCATTCTCAATACAGTATCCTGTTAAATATTTCAAATCCATTGCTTACAATTGCTTTGCCCTGCCGTTCTTTAAGCTAAAAAGAAAATAGAAAAAAGCAATAGAAACCGACTCCATCTCAAATGCTTGATCTTTAGAAACTGTCCTCCAGGTCCCATTCTTTTGATAATTCAGCCAGCTGGAAAGTCAAGCAGATGCTGGCTTGTATCACCAAATTAAGATCTTAGAAGTGAATTTATATAAATATTTTTGCAGTAGAATTTAAGAGCAGAGACTAATTCTCTTCCCACTGATGCCAAAGACTTCTTCTGTCCTCAACAGGAGGAGATTTAGGCCAATATAAAATAGGCCAACCCAGTCTTTGCCTTCAGTGGCATGTATAGAAAAATGAAAGATAACATCTAAATAGCAGAACAAAATTTGAATGAAGTTGCAGATCTGTAAGCAGCAATGAATAAGAGAATGTGCTTTAGAAGAATTTTCATCTGGGTACCTCTTGAACCTGTATGGAGGCATGTTCTGTTCCTGACCTTATAAAGTCCGTTAGTGGAAGACTTAATTACTCAGCTACAGGAAAAGAATGAGAGTGGAAAAACCACTGACTAACTCACTCGAGCACATCCTCAGTAGACTGTTTCTTATCAAAGTACTCCTTTGATTTCTCTTTGCAGAATTTAAGCACTCCGAGTCTTAGAGAAACACCATTATTTCCTAGTTTTATGACATACCAACAAAATCAGTTTCTAAGTCAACCCCATGTTTTTCTTTTAACTCTTGCCCATCTTTCTTCCCATAGGGGGTACGTGTTAATTGCAGAGACACAAGGGAGTTTGGGAATATTTTTCCGTGTGCTTTCTTGGATTTCTGCAGATGCTGCTGACGGAGCAGGCATGCTGGGGGCCGGCTCCTTCCCGCCTCTGCTCCCCCGGGAACCAACAGGCATTGCCAGCTGGTGGAAAAATTGTGTCAACTCAAAAGTTGTGCTTTGTATAGACCTCGCCGTGCTGCAAGTTGGTTTGTTGGTTTTTTGTTTTGGTTTGTTTGTTTGTTTGTTTAAGACAGACATGTTTTGTATTTGCCATAGCATTTAAGGGCGGATCCTGCTCATCACTTCACCACTCCTGACCGGAGCCTGGAATTTACAATTCCTGGGAGCATCGTGCCATCTCCCACGGCGGGATTTCCAACAGGGAGGAGATGCAAAAATCAGCTGTCGCGAGGCTGAAATGCAAGTTCCCTCTCAATTAGCATTATCTAAACAGATAGGAGGAGAAATAGATTCATGTGCTTCCAAAAACTTTACATAGATTTTCTTCAGTTCTCTGTCTACAAAATGTCTGCCAGGAAAAAAATCTGGAGCTTGGCAGGATGAAGCCTCACACGTGTATTGTTCGTGTAACTATGGTAACCTACAAATGCCACCAGTGTTTCCATTTCATACACAAATGAGGGGACAGCTGTGGAGACCACATGTCTGCCAATGGAATAATATATGTGAACTAGGATGGCTTGGTCAGAAAATTACAACTCATTTATATTAATCAGGGCTTCAAAGAACAGTCACCTCCGTAGTTACCAAGTGCGCAGTAAAAAAGTGATTTTTATTTCTGACAATGTTTGGCTCTTCAGTAAACATTTTCAGCATCTTGCTACTTTGCTGGTTGAAAAACAAAAAAAAAACAAAACTAAAGAATGCTGTTAGCAACCAGTGCTCTTCTGTAAATGTCACTTAGTTTGTGGTTTTGTATTTTTTTTTTTTTCTTCCTCTCCTTTGGTTTCATCTTTCTCTGATGCCTGAGCCTAGTCTGAGCCTGACACAAAGCCTGACCTGGGACCAGGCATGCTCCACAGCGTTCGCCTGGGGAAGCAGCAGTTCCAAAAGAGGCAGAAATAACATGGTATAGAGCTCTAACCCATCTACCAAAGGGAAAAAAACCTTGTTTTCCTCGTTGGTATCATTAACAGAAACAAAAGCTTCAAAGCAATTCATATGAGAAATTTTAAAAAATAATCAAAAATCGCTTAAATGAACTTGGAGTTTATATCATCCCTCACAACAACAGCAACAAAATAACCCATGGACTCAATAATGCAAATAAACCTTTTTCAGTAAATATTAAACTCTGCAAGCTGCAGCAGCAGTAATATTTGACTGGGGTTATGATTCATCCAAGGTGCTTTGAGTGTCCCTACCAAAAAAAAAAAAAAAAAAAAAAATAACCAAGAGCTGGTAGCTGCTGCCTGCCTTGGCAGCAGCCGCCTGCCGACAGCCGGATGCAGCAGGAATCCAGCACGCCGATTAGCAAAAGTTTTCCCCGGCTTCTGCAGTGCCACGATACCGTCTCGGGGTAAAACAAAAGGCTGCAGCGTTCCCAACCGCGCGGCTCGGCAGCCCGGCGGCCGCATCTGCCGGCACCGAGGGGCACTCCCCCGCCACAGCGGGCTGAAAACTTGGAAGCCACTCTTGTGGAAATGCTCGCCTCCTTCTCCGCCGGTTGGAACCCCGGGCACAGCTGCCTGGTTTTAAACCAGGGCTTCCCAGCCCCCAAGCTGGTGCCGCGCCTACCCAGTTGCCTGAGCCCTGGTAAATCAGATGGAACAGAAGTTTCTTTTTGCTGCCAAAGTTTGGGTGCGCTCGGCGTTGTTCATGTCAATAAAACCCCCACAGTTTCACAGTTAACATTAAAAAGTTGTTATCCTTTTATAATCTATACAACTTGATATAAAAGAAAAAAAAAAAAAAAACCAAAACCAAATGATTTCTTTTACTAATCAGTATGTCTGTTCTAGCTAAATGGAAAATACTGTATAATCAACACAATAACTCGTCTGTTAAAGTCCAAAACACCTACTGGGATATATGATTTTATAGGGAGTACATACACATTTATTCAGATAACTTTTTAACTGTCAAGGCAGAAGTTGAGCTGTAGCTCTCTCAAAGCCCAGGTTTCATCTTTCGGGGTGCCCGGGGCACGGCCGGCTTGCGGCAAGAGCCCAGCACCAACCGGACATCACAGATCTGGACCCTTCTCTACTTCGTCACCCGGGGAAGCTTCGTGCACTGCTGCTTCTCTCTCTCTCTCTCTGCGTGTCTGTCTTTTAAATTAATTTCTATTCCAACTCGCAAGACTTTTGGATGTGCTCCGGGAGGACCCTTCAGGCACCAGTCGGGACTGGTGCAGTATGTGGCTTCGGCATTTGCAGCATCTCTGAGATCACCTCGTGTACATCTACATTCGCCTCCCTCCAAGGTTTATTATGGTCTGGTTCAGAAACGCCAAGCTCCTTTTCTAGGGATCCTTTAAGTCTGTAGGGAAAAGACTTAAAAGGTTCACAAACTAGTTTTTATTGAAGAGGTTCATTACTTGGGAACTATCGCGCAGCTCCCGGACAAAACCAGAAGCATCCTGGGTGTGATCTCTCACCTCTGGACAACATTATTTTCTACTTTGAGTTTGATTCCGTTACTTTTCCTTCCATCGCCTAGCGGGAAAACCGCACCGAACCAGCACTGAATAACTTAGGGAAAGCTGGAAAATAGCAGGCAGACATCTGCTGTGTTCCCGCCGGCACAAAGCGCCCTCCCCGCGGGGCCGCACAAGGCGGGGCGAGCTCCCCGCGGGGCGCGGTGGCCCCTCGGCCACCCCCCAGCGCAGGGGGCCGCCCGCCCTTGCGTCCCGCTCCGCGCCCGCGCAAGGGAGGGCCACACCGCGGCCGCCTCTTTGAAGCGACGGACTTTTTTTTTTTTTTTTTTTTTTTTCTTCAATATCAAAACCAGAAGAAACCCAGCAGCCCCCCCCGCGGTGGTGAGGGCGGCCGGCGGGAATCCCCGCCGGGTGCTTCGGTGTCCCCAAACCGCAGTGACACGGGTGGGGAGCGGCCGTTCCACCGGCGACAATGCACTTGGCCCTGGGAGGAAGGTGGCGGAGCCGGCGGCCCCGCGCACACTGCGCCTTTATTGCCGTTTTCTGAAGGGCTATTGTTACACTGAAGACTCCTTGTCTTTCCCAATTCCTCCGGGTGAATGGCTGGGAGAAGACATCTGCCGGGATCCGCTCCCATTCGCATGCAAATCGGAGGGTCGGGCCGCTGGCAGCCCCGCCGCGCAGCCGGCACCGGCTCCGCTCCCCCCCCCCCGCGCAGGTACGCGGCCGGGAAACCACGCGTTTAACGGCAAAACTAAACCGCGGCGCGGAGTGTGTGCGTGGGGGGGGGGGGAAAAGGGAGGGCGATGCTGCAGCACACACACCCCCCGCAACCTCCCCAGTCGCTCCTCCGCGGAAACACCGCGGCTCGCCCGGAGGTGCGAGCCGAAAGCCGCCCGCGCTCCCGGGGGTGATGCTGGGGCGGTGCGGAACGGCTGCCCGGGCCCCCCCCGGAGCTCCCTGCCCGGGCCCCCCCTGGAGCTCCCTGCCCGGGCCCCCCCTGGAGCTCCCTGCCCGGCCCACCCCTCCCGGAGCTCCCTGCCCGGGCCCCCCCCCCCCCAACCCCCGGAGCTCCCTGCCCGGGCCCCCCCCCCCAACCCCCGGAGCTCCCTGCCCGGCCCACCCCCCCCGGAGCTCCCTGCCCGGGCCCCCCCCCCCCCAACCCCCGGAGCTCCCTGCCCGCCGGGACCATCCCGGCAGCCGCACGGGAGCTGGTTGGGGCGGAGGGGGGGAGGGTGGGGGGGGGAACACACACACGGACGCAGCCGCTACCGCAAACTTTCCTCCCGCCCGGCTCCGTGCGGGGTCCCCGGGGCTCCCCCCAGGCGGGGCGGCCGGCCCGCAGCGCCCCGCAGGCCCGGCTCCCCCGCCCCGGGCTCGGCGGAGGCACTTACCGGCAGCCGGTGCCCGCGGAGCCGCAGCGGAGGCGGCACATTCGCAGGTCGCCGCGGATCGCGCCGCGCCGGTGGTGCGGAACAGCAGCGGCTTCCAGAAAACGGGGTACGGGGAGAAGGGGAAGGGGAGGGAAAAAGGAAGGGATGGGGGGGAGGGGGGGGGGGGGGCGGGCGGGCTGCGGTGCCGGTGCCCGCCGCCCGCTCTGTGCCGCCGCCGGCGCGCACCTGGGTAGGCGCCGGCGGTCAGCTGACGGGCTGCGCTCCCATTGGCCGGGCAGGCGCCATCTGCGCGGGGCGGGGTGACACGCCCTCCGTGGCCACGCCCCCCCAATCGCCACGCCCCGCCCCTTAATAGCCACGGCCCCCGCGCAACTTCCGCGGGGCGGTTAGAGGTTCGTAGAGAAAGCGTGTTTGCACGCCTCGGTGTGCGCTCCTGCGTTGCTCACGACTCCGTCGTTAGGTTTCAGAGTTAACCGCTCCTGGAAGAAGATTCCGGCGGTGGTTGGTGCGCTCCGGGAAGGGGTGGCGTCGCAGACATTTTGGCCAACCCTAACAATGAAATATCTCCCGCGCTACACGTAGCACTGCATCCTCAGGCAGAGCGTGGGCCCGTCAGGGAGCACTGCCAGGCATCCGTGCGCCTTGCATCCTCCTTCTAAATTTTTTACAGACTTTTAAAAAAGTGACACAAAGGTCAAGGTGCAAAGCCAGGTGACTTCAACCTTAAGAGTTAGTTGAGCCCAGAATTCCAGGATTTCAAGATTTCTGTGTAAGCCCTTGGGTGCGTTCATCCCCTTCACTCCCGATTTTCCCTCTTACCTCTTTTTTTTTTTTTTTCAGTTTTCTGAGTTTGGAGTTACTGACTTGCACCTTTCCCTGTGTGTTCCTGGGTCCCATCCCGCTCCGCTGGGCGAGCTCCCCGCAGGCGCCGGGGCGTTGCAGTGGGTGTCAGAGGGGCCCCTCTCTCTCCATGGTGAAGCCCCCGAGGGGTGCTGCCTCCCCGGGCTCCCCTCGGCTGCGGCAGGACAGCCCGCAGTCACACAAGGGCGCGCTGCCCGCCGAAATAAGGGCGCTCCGAGTACGTGCGCTCTGTCTGAAGCCTCACGTCGGATCTTAAGAACAATTAGTCTGTGTTAGACAACGAGTTTCTGGCTGGACGCGGCGCCAAAGGCCAGCTGAAGTTTTGGCAGCGGTATAAAAGTCAGCTTTTCTTCATACCTTTACATCTTTATTTCCTGGTTTTTTTGTTTGTTGTTTTTTTTTTTTTTATTATTATTATTATTATTCACTTAACCAGTGGAAGGGGAAGCTGTCGCGGGAGGATGCTGTGCTGCCTCATCCCTCCTGCCCTTTATTAACATAAGATAATGGGACTTCTGCATACCTCCACCGGCAGCCCTCATGCTTTTATTGACAAGCACCCCAACAAAACAAGCATCCTGCAAGTACGCGGGATCATTTCCACCCTCACGCCCTGCACGAATCGCGCAGGCGGAGTTTGCTGAGCACAGCCTGGGGGAAAAGGTGCTGGTGTCTGAGGCAGGCTGAGCTCAGCGCCTCCTCCTGGCATGTACCAAAGTGATACCTTCTCAGGAAATGAATTTAAAAATTGATTTAACAATTTTTAGTGAGGAAGACCCTTCAGATGAGTTAACAATAAGTTAAATAGGTAGCAAACGCGGTCTTTAGTTAATGCTTCAGATTTCCTCTTGAGGCAATGAATTTTTTCTCAAAGTCCAAAAGGTCGTTTAGGTAACATTAAAAGTGAAGTTTTTCATATTTAAGGAAATTGAATTTTCAGAAGGAACTCATCAAGGTCGTCCAGAAGCCGCTTTTCCTTCCACAGAGTCTCTTCTCATCAGTCCGGATGTTACTTTTCCATCTATCACTTATTCCTGATGTGGAAGTAATGTAATAGCGGATGCTTCTTGGAAAATCTGCTGTGTTGTGAACAGCCTCAGTTCTTTGCTGTTTCAGGGCAGGGAATTTATTTTCACTTTCTCAGTGGAGCAGATCCATCCTTTCGCACAGTATTAGTTACATGCAATCGTCATGCTCCTCTCTGCAAATATTTCTTTTGCCGCACCAGGAGAGAAAGGATCAGCAGCCCCATGCGTGTCCCTCATGGCCCTTTTTTGGGCGTTAGTGTTTTGAGGGAATGGTCTGTACTTTATTTTTCACACACACTGACCACACTGTTGATCGTGAGGCTTGTCTGGGTTTTTAGGAGGGTTAAAGAACCCGTCCTGTATATGTACAGCAGCAGAAGAGAGCTGTAGGTTTCTACGAGGCTTGCTAGGGGAAAAGTGTTCTCTGTATTTAATTTTCATGTCATTGCAGGCGATGCTGTCCCCATTCCAGGCTTTCACTATTTGAAATTACACACACAAACAGGCCCCTCGCTCAGCCAAGATTCACAAGGAACGTGTGAAACGATCGCAAATAAGCTTTTAAACCAGAGCTCGCACCTTTGGACCCCAAAGCGAGCCGGGGTGGTTGGGCAGGAGGTTGGGGGTGTCTCTGCCGAGGGGGATCGGAGGGCTGGGGTTGCTGAAGTGTCCGGTGCAGCGCGGAGTCGAGGAGATGCAGTTTGGGGGGCAAGGGCAGGGCTGTGCAGAGGGAGGGCTGAGCTCTGGAGCGGCTGACAGCGGCTGCAGAGGATGAGGGAGAGGAGATGGGGGTTAGTGCGATGAGAAGTTGAGAGGAAATTCTGTCTTAGAGAGTTACGCTCTCTGAAATACTCTTTTTGCCCTAAGTGAGACAAGTTCTGTAGGTGGATTTCAAGTGCTGAAAGCTGTTGTGGCTGTGCTGTGACAAGCAGTCCCCCTGGCCCTGTGCGGAGCATCCATCCTGCATGGGACTGGGCCGAGCATCAGCACCTCGTTCCCCGCAGCTCCCTCTTTACCTTCTGGTACTCGGCTGCGGAACATCAGACGCCGCCGGGGAGCAGAGGTGCAACCCTGCAGCACCGGGGATGTGCAGCTGCGCCCGGGGGGTTGACCAAAGCCAAACCTCCACAAAATGACCTGGTTTGGAAGAGGCCCCGGGCCGAGGAGTGTAGCAGGTGCAATTATCCCATCGCCACACCAAGCCGAGCTCCCATAGCGGGTCCGGTGAGGTTTGTCTCGTTACAGGCGTTGTCCATGAGCAGTTAAATCCCCTTCCCCACCCTTGACCGCCGAGGTTTTTCTTGCAGCGCAGCCAGCACGCTGGCCTTGCGCCGAGAAGCGAGGCGGGATTCTTGGAGGGACCGTGCAATCCGTCGTCGGGCCGCGAGGCTGGTTTGGGATGGCGAGGTACAGGAGGCCCTGGACGGCCCCGTAATTAACTCCTGATTGCACCGACTACCTCATCAGGCTGCCTGATGGGGTCAGTATTTGGGGAGTGCTGCAAAATTTCATAGTTTTCTAGGAATACTGGCTGGTAGTTCGTGTCTTGTCTTAAAATTCAAGCTTCTAGAATGATACTTGCTAAGAAAATGTTAGCTTCACTTAAAAACAAAAAAAAAAAAACAAAAAAAAAAAGGCTTCATTCCTTCTGATTGCATAGAAAAGCTTGAAAGGCATAAACCTGACAGACCTACAATCTACATGCAAACGAAAAGGAGACAAAATATAGGAAGCATTAAAATTTTACAGTCTTAACCTGTCTTTGTTTCTAGGCAGTTTTCATAACATTAAAACGTTAGGAATGAGACTAATGTTGAGATGGAAATTAAAATATCTTTAATTCCTACAGACTACAAATGAATATTTTTGTGCTGTAAAGATAGTAGAAGTGATTTGTTTGTTTGGTTGTTTTTTTTTTTTCCCAGCCTGGTATCTGTAAGGGAGCAACAGCTCCAGGAGTAGCTGCTGCAGGACCTCTTGGACTAAGGGGAAGGTTTACACTGGAGGAGAAGCGGAACAGATTTTTCTCTCTGTGCCATCTCCCATGAACTGCTCAAGGTACAATCTCTGCAAATACTTTCCCATCAGCAATATTCAGGCAGAACTGAGTACTCTCCCAAACACTCCTGCTCAGGTGGCCTTAAAAAGAAGCTCGCAGGAAAATACGAGATCTCCCACCATTTGGGCTGAACGTTATTCTTCTTGACTGCCTCTTTGTTCTCACCTCCTCTCCTTCCGTGCCCTCTGGCTTCATCCCCTTATTCCTCTGTTCTTTTTGCCTTCAGCTGCTTTCCTGTTTTTTTTCCATCTCCAAAAGTGTTGTGAAACGAGTGTGATGTTTGCTGCCATCACCACGTTCACTCCCACCATTTACCTCCCCATAGCTCTTTGTGCCGGCAGCTCTGGGACAGGGACTGTCTGCTGGTTTGTATCTGGACAGTGCCTGGCATTTTGGGGACCTGGACTTCAAACCTTTAAAAGGATCTAAATAACTTACGCTGGAGAATAACAAAACAATACAGCCCTCGGTGACCTGTCACGCATGTCACTGCCTTTTTCCTCTGAAGCAGAGATCCTGCCATTAAGCTGCTTATCGTCCTGAGTGTATGCATAATCCATTACCCTGAACTATGCTGCGGGACCCTAATGTGCCTTTCTCTAAAGAAGTATAAACTGGGAAGTGATGCCAAGTGGGAACACCAGGTAGAAGGGGCACCACCAAGAAGAAAAAGAGACTTGCTACTGGGCAGGTGAAAATCCACTGCCCTGTGTCCCGACAGTAATAGCTCCTAATCGATATGAGATTGAAATAAGTCCGTAAACGTAGGCAGCAGTTAGTTGGCATTTTTGGAAGAGAGGTATGATTATTGCTGAAGACTTACTTGTGAGTTAAGTTGAGAAAGAGGTATTACAGTTTGCATTTTGTGCCAACAGGTTTCTTAGCTTAGATGACAATTTTGGTTAGCGAGATGAAGCACTGCTCGGTTTTCTTTTCACCCAGTGTTTCAGATGCTCTGCATTTATTTTCAAAATTGCATGAGTGTGCTGAATTTATTCAGAAAGGTACCGGCACTGCACATGCAAATTACCAGTGAGGAACTGTGTAAGCCAATGACCAATTACATCAATAACTGGTTATTTGCATAATGCATTCCCAATTATGCATGCAGCTATAATAATTGCATGCACAAATGGTGTAAGTGATTGCAGGTGCAAAAGTGTGGATGCGATCATGTGTATATGGACTACAAAAAGCAACTCGGTGGGAACAGCAATTGCACCAGTCACCATGGCGCTGCTATACAAAACCCAACAATTTCAGTCTTTGTTTTGACCTAGAAGGATCCTTCT